AACTGGGCCAGGGTCAGGCCCGGAGGCAGGGCCGGGCAGACCAGGGGGGGCTGGACCACCCGGTCTAGCCCTACTTTTTTGCAAAACTTGGCTTCCTATTGGAGGCTTGTATCAATTCTTGGGAGAGGCACACACCTGAATTGGCTACAGTGGATACTGAATTGGCTACAGTGGATAGTGATACTATTCATCACCAAATCTTCAAAATGCTCTTTTCGAGAGTGGTCACCCATTCATTGGATTCCAGTTGCTTATTGATCACGAACTCCTCGGTTTCTTTGCGTATGGCTTGGTTGCGGTGTTTGAAGTGTGCGACCCACACACTGAGTTTAATTCTCTCTTCATTTTTTGATTTTTTTTTTTTTTTTTTTTTCTGTATCTATTTGGATGTAACGCTGAGGCAAATGTTGGTCAGTTTATCTTTCTGCATAACACATATTTTTTCAGTTTTTTTTTTTTTTTTTTTTTTTTTTTTGGGTCCGTGTTCGGCCTGAACGGCCGAACCCATCTACAGGGACCCATTATGCTTTTGTTATGTTAATCGGGTTAACATAACCATATTCATTACCATCATAGGTCTTTGGGACTTTATTTCATTTTGGGTAGATAATTGATTGCATTTTAATGATTTTATTTACTTATTGAGTTTTCTATTTATTCATCTCGAAAGAGATGTAAGAACCAACCAAAAACTTGTTGAAAGGAACCAAAAAAAGCAAACAAGGAGATGCTGCAGTAGTCCGCAGCGAGATGGACACGACTTATTTTATTTATCCCACCGCGTGGTTGGAGACACCCAAATTGACGAACTCAAGATGGGGACCACCACCTGTCATGAAAGGGGTATTTTTATACTCTCTATTGTTTTGGATACAAGTTGAGAATTCTTCGGCTAAATTCCAATTTGTTGAAACAATATGATGGCTTCCTTACTCAAACATCAATTATATAGGTCTAGAAGGGATTTCTTTATTCTTTGTTCTCAATACCTATTTGCATGTTAGTAGGTTGGTCTAGTATTCAAAATTACATGAAAGAGAACGTGATTTTTTTTTCCCCTCTAGAAGCAATCATGGTTGCTGTGTTTTTCATGCATACATTGGGTCAAGTAGGTTATAACTTATCAGCACGAGACCACAAAAAAGTACGGCCCCTCGCCCTAGCCAGTGACCGCCGAGCTGTTTGGGATCCTCATTCGGTCGTACAGCCCCGGCCGAACGTCGGCTACCATGCTCTGCAGAACAATTCAGGGCCTGGACTTGCACTATGCACAGAGCAGAGGCAACCAACATCATGGCTGATGGCCGCTTGTCCCTGCCATTCGAGCTGCAATCAGTTAGATTGGGATTTTGTGGTAGGTGTTTGTTTAAAATGAACTTTGGACCTGCATAGCATCGTGTTCGCTTTCGAAGGCAAACACGAACATGTTTGCCTGAACGCAAACCAGCGCCCAAAACCCTCCAAACGCGAACATAAAAAATATATATAGATATATATATAATTAAAAATATCTGAAAAATCTGAAAAAACGATACGTCGTGTAAAACAACAATACAAGCAACTTCTAGTTCATATTATCTTCATAGATATGTGACAACATATTGATCCAGAGTCTCTTCTGGGACAGCTTTTTGCTGATATGTGATCTGACAGTCGTTATCTTTGATCAGTCTGTTCATTCAGAACATACTGATGTGTAATCCCGACAGTCGTTAATACTCGTTATGTTTCGCTTTTTTTTTGTTTTCCTTCTGCTTTCTTGTTTCTTTTTGTTCGTCTTCCTCCAATGTTCTTCCTTTTTTGAAGTTCTTTCCCTCTTCTTTTTCAAAAAAGGGTGAAGGCCTTGAGATATCATCATTGAAGTTGATTGAACTGATCGGCCCGGGAATAATTTTCATTGTGTCTGGATTCGAACTTGGGTCTGCGTTTCAACAGTTCATGGTGTGTACCGACTGAGCCAGGCCCGCCGGTATGCTCGTTATCTTTGATCAGCCTGTTCATGCAGAACATTCTGACAAACAACACTTTGATTTCTCTGACTGGCGAAAGAATGATGACGTCAGAAAGAACAATTTCTCCTTTTCCCTGACGGCCGCAAAATCTGAAAAAGGGTTGGAAAGAAGTCCAGAAAAAAAAAAACAGGACGCATGTTTGACGTATGCAAATCCTGTAAATCTACTAAATCAGACTAAATCTAATATTCAGGTATCAGTTGAAGCCTCATTAATCTGAGCCTGAACAGCAGCACTTGACTGGGATCTGTTTAGTGCACTGTTTATGTCAGCTTAGGGCGCCTCTTCTTGGTCCTTTTCTTCCCTTTTTTCTTTTTTTTGTTTTCCTGTGTGTGTGTGTGTGTGTGTGTTTCGTTTGGACCCTGGTTATCCTCTCTCTATATCATTCCACATTCCAACTTTGATAGATCTCTGATCTTTTACAGTTTTTTTTGTCATTGCAATGGTGATACATCTCTGGATTGAAAAGGGGTACCCTTTTGAGGCTTGCACACCTCAACAGATTTCCACCTCTTGTGTACTTCAACCTCCCTCCCTTCGTGCAGGCCTCTGTGGGAAGCCTCCCCCCAACCCTTCTGGCTGAGAAGAAATTGGGGGGGGGGAGAGGGATGCAGCAGACGGACGTGAGAATGATGGTCGGAGAGTACAGTGTATTTGGTAACCGATGTCAGTAAGTAATTGAGTGCCAGCCCATGTGGCTGCTTGTATGAGTGGGATTCTATGCAAGCCGGGCTCAAGTCCCGTGCATATCTCTGCTGGGCTGAATATACAAATCTGACAGGTGGTTGATGTGTCAGTGTGATATTTTTTTCCGGATGAGAGATGGTTATACAGTTAGCCCCGGGGAACAACTGCCTGCAAAATGGCTAGGGGGGGTAAGTATTTGCATTTATTTGCGAGGGGTTTACAATTGTTGTCATAAGGTGTTTGGATGGGTTTGGTTGACCCTAACTAAACAGTGTGCGCAGGCCTTGATTGAGTGTGTGGTGGACTATCTAGGCTCCCTCCCGTCTAATAACAATTTAGTAGGTACTATGACCCATCTGCCCCGCTCGACCTGAATGGTTCACCGGTTCCACCGAACGCTCTCATCCGGAAATGGCATTCCGACTGCCAGAATTGGATGAGAACGCAGATTGCGTTTCAGGTGCTGTTGCCTTGGTATACCATTGACCATAAGGTTAAGAGGGGCTGTGATATGCTGTTTTACGGTGATACTGGTGGGATGTGGATGGTGGTTCTCTTCTACTCTGGACCCGGTTTCCAACAGATGCACCTCCTCCCTTCGACTGGGAAAAAAAAAATGGGAAGTAGTTTTTCAAAAATCTTGATGTTGAGGTTGATCAATTATATATGATCCTTTTGAATGGAAATGGTCAGCGACTCGCCAGTATACTGAATGGGATAGGCTGTTATGATATTTGACAAGGCTCATTGGATTCGGCCAGTGTAAATGGTCTATTTATATGTCGCTGGGTCAGATTGAATTGAAGCCTGAATAGCCTTGGAACATCTGACTGTATCAGATTGGTTCAAGTTGGATCAGGCTGTATTAGACTGAGCTTGTTAGAACGAGCTGCAGCTCCCCACCAATGGAATGGAGCCACTCGCAAACAGGGTGCGTGGAGGGGTGTCTGCTCTTATCAGCACCTCCCCCGCGCCCGTCCACGATGTTTCACCCAAAAAAAAAAAGAGAAAAAAAAAAGAAGAAGAAAAAATAGAATGAGCTGCGAGCACTCGACCAGATTAGGTTGAACCAGATTGGCCCGAAATAACTTGGGTCAGCTGGTATAATTTGGATGAGATTGGGCCAGGGCTGAATTTCCGCTTCTACCGGGGGGCCCTTCCCCCACCGGAACCGGGCCGGTGGCACCGGCCGGTGGACCGCGCCGGTTCCCCCCTGGTAGGAAATTGCGCCGACGGGTAGCGGCCAATTTCGATTTTTTTCGGGGGCCGGGAGGCCCCCCTGCGGGTCGTGGAGGCCTCCCGGCCCCAAAAAAAAATGAACCGGGTCCAGTAGGCCCACCAGAATCTTGAAAAACTGGCAGCCTATCTGGGCCGTCGATTTGATGAGATCGGCGGCCCAGATAGGCTGCCAGTTTTTTAACATTCGGGCGGGAAACCACCCGAAGTTCAACTGGCCAGCGTCGGCCCCCGCAACCCCGTGTGAAACCTTCCTCGTCACTTCGACACTTCGTCGCAGTGACGAGTGCGGGAAACCACCCGACTTCCGACTGCACCCCTTGTCACGTCGGGCATTACACACCATCGCCTCCCCCACCCCGTCATTCACTGGTCAAGGTAAGTGGTTGTATCTTTCTTCTTCTTCTTCTTCTTCTTCTTCTTCTTCTTCTCCTTCTTCTTCCATTTCTACTTCTTCTTCTTCTTCTTCTTCTTCTTCTCTTCTTCTTCCTCCCCCCTTCTTCTTCTTCTTTTGGCATAGCCGAAGTTTTCGACGCCCGAAGAGAGAGAGAGAGAGAGAGAGAGAGAGAGAGAGAGAGAGAGAGAGAGAGAGAGAGAGAGAGAGAGAGAGAGAGAGAGCACTCGGTCGCTTTCAGAGGCTGAGTGCAGCAGATTGGTGTGAAAAGTGAGGTGACAGTAGCTGCGCATCCTTGACGCGGAATGTATTCACAGGGACGCTGGGTTCGTTTCCCGGTATATCTAAGAGGCTACAGTCTTCCCTCGATTAGAACGTACGGCAATTCAAGCTGTATTTGGGTGAGCTTTCAGTCTACATACAGAGGTAATGACCGTATTTTCTATTCGGGGGAAGACGGNCAAAGTTTCCGACGCCCGAAAAAAGAGAGAGAGAGAGAGAGAGAGAGAGAGAGAGAGAGAGAGAGAGAGAGAGAGAGAGAGAGAGAGAGAGAGAGAGAGAGAGAGAGTTCGAACTCGCCCGCAGCACCTTTTTTTCATTGATATTTGAAAAGCTTCCATATTGTGACTTCGACATTGGCGAGCGGAAGATAGAGAGTTCGAACTCTGGGCGCAGAGAGAGAGAGAGAGAGAGAGAGAGAGAGAGAGAGAGAGAGAGAGAGAGAGAGAGAGAGAGAGAGAGAGAGAGAGAGAGAGAGAGCAAGTGTGCACGGAGCCCGGGAAAGCTATGACAAAGCGCAAGGATGAGCACATGTGGAAACAACCGGCGGTGGACGATGTGAGGAGGCTTAACCCTGCGACCTGGTGGGCAGCACATGGTGGGGATGTCCCAACACTTCAGGAAATTGCAATCAAGGTCATGGGGATGTGGAGCACTGCGACCCCCACTGAGCGCAACTGGGCCTCCATGGACTTTGTCCATACGAAGAGACGAAATAGTTTGTCCCCAGCATCCCTCGAGAAGCTCGTATACATACATTGGAACATGCAGTTGCTGCGAGCTCGACACCACAAGGACAGCGGGTTCGATGATGTCTGGGGTTCGTTCTTTGAGCCAATCATGGAGCCAGAACAGAATGACGGGTCAACGCTGGCGACCGATACTCAGGATGCTTCTGAGAAAGAGGATGAGGAGATGAGGCAAAGGAACATGGCGAAGGCTCCAAAAAACAGGATCCCCCAAAACCTTCTCGATTTCGACACTAGTGACAACAGCGACCTCGAGGATATGGTGTGGAAGGGGAAGTGCTGGAATGAGTCATCATCGGAGGACTGCAGCGAGGATGAGGACTCCGATTTCGAACCAGGCGACCACGTATGTCGGCAGGCGAACCAGGCCACAGGACAGGGAGCTCGAGCTTGAGCCTACGCCGGTCGTCGAGAGAGTGGACACGGACGTAGAGTTTTTGCTGCACCGCCACGATGACCCGGACGAGGAAGAGGCCACCCGTGCGAAGGAGATGGCAGACAGGGATCGTGAACTTGTGGAGAGGCGGGTCGCTGAGGAGGAGGCCCGTCGTGCAGCGATCCCTACATGCAGGGAGAGGGAGAGGAATGCTGCACAACAGGAAAAGCGCGGGGTGAGGCCTTGAAGGAAATGGATGGGGATGTCCAGCCTGCCGTGGAGAAGGGCGAGCAGCAGCAAGGGGAGCCTGCGTACGCAGCGGAAGAACAGCAAGCACCAGTTGCCGTGTACACGCGCAGGCTCCGCCCATGCGTGGAGCAACCAGTCGGAGTGGAGGGAGAGACCACCAACCAGCAAGCTTCTTATCGTTTGTGGTCTGATCGAGGCATAGTAGGACCTGCGTAGCACGGCGAACGTGTTCGCGCCCCTCTGTGTTCACGCGAACGGCTCGCGAACGTGTTCGGGCGAACATAGTTTTTTTTTCCGTAAAAAAATAAATAAATAAATAAAAATTCGGTTTTTTATTTTTAACTCACGTTTGGCTAAGAATTTGAACATGACTCCAAGGCAATAACTCACGTATTGTATTGTTGTTGTTGTTGCCTTTTTTTTTTTTTTTTTACATAACACGAAGCCCCTTCTACTCTGGGGGGCGTCAGTCTGGCTATTGTTGTTTTACATCACATTTTTCAGATTTTTCTGAGTTTTTTTTTTTTTAATGTTTGCATTCAGAGGGTTTGGGCGCTCGTTCGCCAGCTTGAGTCTATTTGGAGATTCTTCTCCCACCTTGCAGTTATTGCTGGAAGTGGATTTCCCACCTTGCATCTGGGCTTATATGATATATCCTAATTTAACTGTGTACTCATGCAATGCTATCCACTTCTTGGCACTGCCTCTCCTTCTTTCCCTCCACTTCTTTGCTCTGCCCCTCCCTCTTTCCTCATACCAGGCCCACTCCCTAGGGGCCACTTCCAATTCTGTTATGTCCTTGTTGGCCTGAACAGCCAGATGGGCTCTTTAAACTTCTGTTGCTTTTCCTCTCCCCCTCTTCTCCTTCCTTTGCCCATTCTTCAATTCTCTGACTATCCGCAAATCCTGAGTGTTGAATTCCAACTTTCTTAGTGAGTTTCTTCGCACTTCCGTGATTGCCTTCCCTATTACTTCCGGGGGGCAAATTTTGTTTTTCTGAAAGAAAGAAAAAAATAATGCCTGTCCCCCAGGGAGTAGTCTGGGGCCCGGTGTACTATAACACCGGGACTGTCGACGGCGGGACGAACACTTAGGTGAGGAGCTCGGGCGGATCACAAGACAGCGGACCTGCATGACGTGCAAAGGGGACTTGAAAACAGTTTACTGACCTAACGCTGTTTACAGCCTTGGACATTCTCTTGTATTGATTGACGGATTGTAATTTGTAACCTTGTGGGATGCTGGACCCAGTTTCCAGCAGCTAAAGCTCCCCACCAATAGACAGGAGAAACCGGGGAAGCCTGCTAGCAGGGGCTGCTCTTACCACCCCTCCTAGCAAGCCTCTGGGGAAAAGAAAAAAAGAAAAAAAAGAAAAGCTTGTTTTTGTTTTGGTTCAATGTTGTTGTGTGCCAAAGTTGGTGTCATTTGGACCATTTTTCAAATTTGAGAAATTCGAATGCTGCCATTATGCTGGACCATTTTGATGATAGCATCATAGCACTGCAATGATTCGATTTTTTTTTTTTTTTTTTTTTTTTTTTTTTTTNTTTCCCTTTTCGTTTTGCCTGCTGCGATCCTATCCCGGTTTTGTAGTTTTCTTCTCTTTAGGCAATACACATACACTTGTCAGTAGCCGAGTGACATAAATGCCGAGAAAGGATTTATATATGCAATAGCCGATCAGATCAGATACACGTGATACACGTGGCAATACACGTGGCGATAGCCGATCAGGACGGATCTGTGGTCCATTGGCCCACATTATTTAAAAAAAGAGAAAAAAAAGAGAGGAAAAAAAGAGAAAAAAAAGGAAAAAAAAGAGAAAAAAAAAGAGAAGAAAAAGAAAAAAAAAGAGAAAAAAAAGAGAAAAAAAAAGAAGAAGATTTATGTAAGATGATCAGTAAATTACTATTATCACTTTTTTTGTTTTTGAATATGGTCACCTTGTCATCGCCTTTTCACGTATTTTGTTGAGAATGCACGCCTGCTTCTTCTTTTTCTTTTTTTTCTTTTTTTCTTTTGTTTTGGGCAATGATCTGTTTCTGGTGGCTATTTGCTTGTTTTTTTTTTTTTTTTTTTTTTTTTTTTTTAAATGATGCGTATCATCCTTACGCAGGGCCATGCTAATCTTATCTGTATCCTTTGCGACATCCATGTTTTTGCTGTTTTTTAAATCATATAAATGATATAATAAATTAATAATTTAATAAATTTATAATTTATAATTCGGTTGCTTAATTTTCAGTAATCTACGGAAAATTGTTCAGTTTAATAATTTTTTCAATTTTATATTTATCTTTCAGTTCCTGAACCATCGGGGCAAGGTCCCTTTATCACGGATTAAGAAATACTTTTCCGTAGATTACAGAAAGATCGACGACCACTATTTCTTGACCTGTGCAAGTGAGGCCTCGCCGCAGGGTTCTGGAAGGAAAACATAAGGAAAATGTCTCATTGGTCAGTGTGTTGTCTGGTTGCAGGGTAGGTTTCACTTGGGCCCAATGCCAGATTTTCATGGCCCAACTGCCAGATTTTCGGCAGATATCCAGGCTTCTGACACTGCACAATGGACCTGCGTAACGGGACAAGAAAGCTTTGGTGCCCTCGAGATTTTATAAGGGAACCTGCCTGTATAGAGCCTGTGCACACATGGAGCATGAAGGACTATAATTGGAAAGTTTTTCTCTCGGAAGATAGGACATGGAGTCATGGACTATAGTTTCAAGGTTTTCCTCTCAGACATTAGGACATGGACTATAAATAGAAAGGTTTTCTCTCAGCTTGCAGCAGCTTGATGGGCAATCAGTGTGTGTGGCTCTGTGCTTTTTCTGCTGGTTATCATGAAAATGGGGTGACACACAGCCCCAGCTCTGCAGGGGTCGATGAACACTGGGTGGGGGATGGGAGAGCTGTTTGCCGAAGAACTGGTGGAGGAATCCCCTCAGAGGGTGTGTTAAGTTTCCAATCTCGGGGCATACTCACGCATGGACTTTTTGGACTCTTAACTCTGGACGAAACTGCAGTCAGATGCATCGGAGGCCAGCTTTAATTGTGGTCAGATACATTCAGGAAAGTTATCGTGTGAGTGTGCTCTGATTGGCGATACAGTGTATACACATTTCACTGTGCTGGGATTTGCTACAATCGCAGGACAAGCACGGAAGTATACTCGCACGAGGGCAGCTTTTTCCAAACGGATCGGGCTGTAATTCCAGTCATATGCACTTGGACTCTAACTCTGGACAAACTGCAGTCAGATGCATCGGAGGCCAGCTTTAATTGTGGTCAGATACATTCAGGAAAGTTATCGTCTGAGTGCGCTCTGATTGGCCATAGCCGCTATACAGATTTGACTGTGCTGGGATTTGGTACAATCGCAGCACAAGTGTGGAAGTATACTCATATGAGGGCAGCTTTTTCCAAACAAATCGGGCTGTAATTCCAGTCATATGCACCAAGAAAAATCCCTGCGTGAGCAGCTTTTTCCAAACTCTACAGTGGAATGAAAGATGGTCCGTTTCGTTGTTCAGACTTGAACTCCGAAACTCGCTGTTACTCCGGACAGAATAGCCTTGGAATTTCCCTCGATGTATATAACCTTAATGATGACCACTTTCAGCCGGAAAGTTCGAATCTGAGTAGCCACCTCCAAGTGATTCAGTGGCAGAATCGCAAAGGCGAGTTCGGCGAACAGTTGTAAGAATCGTCCCCGGTTGTCGGCTGCCCTTGCATGGAATCGTTGATCAGTTTGAACTTTAAATGCTTCAACAAATGCAATTTTTGCTGTCTCGGCGGAATCATCTTCGGACCCTTTTCGACCGACGACATTAACAGAAACACATGTTCAGCGAGTCCACGCGTCGCTGACTGTGCATGCATCCACCCACACAACATTTAATCACATATCGACCAATTGTTGTTGGAGCGCTCACTCGCTTCAAAGCCACATCATTTTGTTAGATGAAAGGTCAGCACTCCTTTAAGGAGATGTCGACACCCGCTCCTTGGTCAGTACCAGCACAAGTGCCAGACGTGCAGGGCCTGCTGCCTCAGTCACCTGCCAGCATGTCGGCGACCTTGCGCACTGTGAAACGAAAGTCCGGCATGACGAATGAGACGCTTAGCATGGTCCTTGGCATCGGCATTTCGTTAACGGCTGTCGCAACCGTTGCTTTTGTGGTCCTACTTCTCCTCATCAGAAGACAGAAGAAGAAGCTGGAAGTGGCGAAGAGGGAGAAAGAGGTGCGCAAGCTTCATAAGGGTGAGTTGAGGTCATGTTGTCTCTGCCATTATGTCTTCTTTGATGGTTTTTTTTTTTTTCCCCTCTCCCC